GGGATACTGAATTCATTCTCCAAAGACCATTTGGTGTGCCCCCACTACATTAATGTTCAAAACCTATTTCTTCTACTCATGGAGAAAGTCATGCTACATAGGTATCAAAGCTTCCTACTGATGATGCTAAATGCATTACACATACAAACATTCCTAGACGTATCCTATGAGTTTTGCCGTTTACAAATAAGATTTCGGCTTGCATTTGCAAACCACTTTGTATCCTAACGTTTGAATGTGTACTAATTTTGACTAGCGTGTAGGAAAGGGGCTTGTCTGTAAAGGAGTGCTGAGGTTAATTGTGGTATGTCTATGTGATGGAATACTCTGCAGTGTGGTGGGGAGGGGGGACTTCTATGGGTTGATATGAAAAAATTACCAGAACACATTGCTAGATTTTTTTTTCTTTTGTCTTTCTTTCTGTCCTGGAACTTGCTTGTAGACTAGTCTGGCCACAAACTCAGAAATCCTCCTGTTTCTGCATCCCCAGTGGTGAAATTAAAGATGTGCACTACCATGCTCAGCAGATTTTTTTTTCAATGATGAAGCAGTGTATAGAGTATGCTGAATTTTAGATAAGAAAAGGAAGAGGAAGCTACTAAATAAAGAGGAAAGAGAGACACACAAAAAGACAGTACAGTAGTTACCAAAGTAGAAAGGTAGAGGTAAAGAAAAGAATGGAGAGAAAGATTGATGATGTATACTGTTAAGTGTAGTTTTTTTTTTTCACTATATGAATATACTACTTATTTTGAGGAAAGGCTTCCAATTTCAGGGAGAAAAAAAGCCTTCCCCAAAGCCACAAACTACCCAATGAAAGCGCTCACACTGGAAAGGGCTTTGGTAGTTGCTATGGTTGGAGCAAGGCTCAGAGTGACAGCTTACTTGCCTCCTGGAATCTCGAAAGATGAAAGGAAAGGTTTCAGATGTCATCTGAGGGTGACTGGACCCCACCCTTAAAACTGGGAGTTTGATTCTTTACTAACTACACTAGCTGGCCCAAGAACCTCCACTAATCAGTCTACTGATTAACCCACAAGTGTTTTCTTTGACATTTCCCAATCACCTATCTGCAGTTTTAAAACCTGGACTTGGAACTCATTTTATGAGGTTTAATTACTCCCACTACTCAAGAGTCTATGAATCCTATCTAAATACATAATATTAAGAATTTAAAATATAAGGCCTTAGTGAGGTTTCTTGAAACTTACAGCTGCTGTTTTCGTTTCCAATGTAACCTGTTCCTGTCGGTGACACATTCAGCTCTAGTATTTGAACATTCAGAATATGTCATCTTCCAACCAAACCAAACTGGTGGGAACTCATGAACTGTGGATCAATAGCTCTGGAGCCTCCATGGGACTGGACTAGGCCCTCTGCATAGGCGAGACAGTTGTGTAGTTTGATCTGCTTAAGGGGCCCCCTGACAGTGGGATCGGGACCCATCCCTGGTATATGAACTGGTGTTTTGGAGCCCACTGCCTATGGTGACACCTTACACAGCCTTGGTGCAGGAAGGAGGGGCTTGGACCTGCCTCAGCTGAGTGTATCAGGCTCTGCTGAATCCCCATGAGAGGCCTTGCCTTGGAAGAGGTGGGAAGGGGGTGTGGGTTGTGGGGAAAGGCTGGGGAGTGGGAGGAGGGAGGGGAGGGGATCTGTGCTTGGTGTGTAAAAAGAATAGAAAATTTCTTAATAATAATATTGACAAAAAAGAACATGTCATCTTCTCCAACTTCTGTGTCCTTATCATCAAGCTAAAATAGCAGGGAAATGATGTTACTGTCTGATACTTTGCAATCCATCCATTACATTTCCAAGGTAAGTTTAGAAGGCTCAAAACTGTGTTTTGTTCCTACTCACTGACCTGTACTCCACATGTTCCATCCTGGTGTCTGCACTTTGCGTGGACAGTTTTGACCTTTAAAACATATTAAAGAACTTACTTGACCAAATCAAAAGACACTTTATTTACTTCAGAATTCTACAAACAATATATTAAGAATATGTCTGCCTTCTCTTCCCTGAAATCATTAGCTGGTGAATGTATTTGTTTTGAGTAGGATCATTAAAAAATGACTCCTAAAACTGACTTCATCTTCCTAATAAAAAATCCTCTACAAGGTCTACTTTAACATACTTAACAAATCTCAGACTTCATCTAATTTATTAAAGCCCAGGTTTTTCTTGTCTTTAATAACAGATTTTATGAATGCTAAAAGAAGTTGTTACTGTTGAAATGTAGATTCAAAAGATGAGAGACATGTTTTATTGTGCTTCTGTTTTACAGTTTCTCAAAAGTAGAAATTTATATGCAAAAATAGAATCTAGAATTTAAAATTTATATATGGCTAGTTGCATATGTCAGAATATAACTAAGTAGGGTGCTAATTGTGAGTATAATTACTAAAAACCACTCAGTTCGCATAAGAACTATGTTGAGTGAGTGAATGGGATTCAGAGACTATGAGAATATACTTAATTGTTCAATTTGTATGAGCTCAAGAGCAGATAAAACTAGTCTATGTTCATAGACATCAGAGCATTATGCCTGTGCAGACAAAATTAATCTATATTCATAAACATCAGAGCATTGATGTCTGTAGAAATGGGAATTGGCAGAAAGGGCACAAAGAAACCTTCTCATTTACTTAATTGGACATTTAAAACTTCTACATTTATCTCTATGATTTTCCTTAGTTAAAAATATATATGAGCTATGTGATGGTGTCACAAGCCTTTAATCTCAACACTTGGGTTACAAAGGCAGGAGGATCTCTGTGAGTTCGAGGCCAGCCTGGTCTACATACAGAGTGAGTTCCAGGACAGCCAGGGTGGTTAGACAGAGGAACCCTGTCTCAATAAGCCCACATACACACACACACACACACACACACACACACACACACACACACACACACACATATGAAAGGGCTGGAGAGATGGCTCATTAGTTAAGAGCACTGGTTGCTTTTCCAGATGACCTGGATTTGAATCCCCACACCCGCATGATGGCTTTCAATCATGCGACTTCACAATTGAAAGAGGGGCCTCTGTCTCATCTGGCCTCTGTGGGCACCAGGCACACATGTGGTACACAGACATACATGCTGACAAAACACCCATTCACATAAAGAACAAAATTTAGAAAATAATTTCAAAAGCATATATGAAGAAAGCACTCTGATTTAGAATGCCATATGAAATAATCAGGGACTAATACTCAAAAGTGATTTTTGTTGAAGTTACTAGAACTTGCTTCAATGCATTAGTCGTTATTCTTCCATTGAACATAGTTTCAAATTAAAAGAAGGAGTTCACTTTGTTATAGTTAGCAGCTTCCTTGATTTAAGTCTAGGCTCATGGTGGAGTTTTAGGCATTCATGAAGAAGTAATGGATAAGTGCATAAAATATATTCATACTGAAGATGTAAATTTTAATGTGAGGCCCATAGCACCCATTTCAAACACCAATTCTAGAACTGTATAGAAGTTTACTGAGTTGTATAAACTTTAAGTCAGGTTAATTTGGGTATGTGAAGGTATTGTTTATTTTCAAGTTTTTAATAATAAAGTTCGTAAAATTAAAATAAAGAATTATACCACTTGGTGGCAAATGGATGAATCGAGATCATCAGAGTAGGTGGAAAAAGCCACAAGCCTCCTCCACATCCCCTGAAAAGCAGCACATGTCCTCCTTCGAGTGTGTAAGTTAAGGAAAAAGAAAGAAGAGTGACAAGAAATTAAAGGGGAATTACAAAGAATGTAGAGAGAAGAACATAAGAAAGTAATAAACATGGTGGCGCACGCCTTTAATCCCAGCACTTGGGAGGCAGAGCCAGGCGGATCTCTGTGAGTTCGAGGCCAGCCTGGTCTACCAAGTGAGCTCCAGGAAAGGCGCAAAGCTACACAGAGAAACCCTGTCTCGAAAAACCAAAAAAAAAAAGAAAGAAAGAAAGTAATAAACAGCGTAGTTGTGGTAATAATACATTATATGGATTATAGAAATGTAATGAAACTCTTTACACAATTCCTATTCATGAATGAAAAGAAGATTCTCAAAAAAGCATTAGTTTTCTTAAATGCTTTGGAAATACTCCGATGCAACATTGTTTATTATTTTACCATAGATAAAGAAAAGTATTTCAGTTCACTCCCAGTCAACAGCCAAACAGTAAAATAGCGTAGGTGAATTAGTACAGTTACATTGAGGCTGACTGTGTCGTGCCATGACACACATCAAATGAATCAGCTGCTTCAAGGGTGATGTCATTATTACTCCAGGACAATGAATGACTTTTGAATACTGTGCAGTTGAAGTTCTTAAACCACATTCTTATCAGTTCTATGCAACATAACGTTAAACTTCAAAATATAAAAGAGAATAAGAGAGTCAGAATGCTTATCTTTTGCCTATAAATTATAAAAGAAAAAAAAGGAGCCACTTATTTTTCTTCCCGGGGACAGTAAGGAAAGCTTCGACACATGCAATACCAAAAGTGACAGTCATTACGGCCGGTTATATTAAAGCACTTTCTTTCAAAATTGGTCATCCATCTCCCTATCCATGAGGGTCACATAGAGGACAGCACAAATGAAAATAACGGGCTCAGGTGCATATTAAGTGAAATTTCACCTTAGTGAAATTAAGTACAAGATATCTCTGCTTAAGTACTCTGGGACTACGAGTTGAATTTCATGAACGCATGAATTTCGGGGAGGGGGAGTACACATGGTCAACGGGGAGGAAGATAATGCATCAGCAGGGAATCCACATCTAAGTCTTTTAGTTATTTTTTTAATTATGACCTACAGTATTTTTAGAAAGTATTTAAATAAGTGCATGTATAGTGCTAACTAATACTAAGTGTTCACACACATGTAATGTGCATATCTCACGTTCATGAGTCAGAATGATACAGAAACAGTAGGGAAGGTGTTTTGATTTAGGTGGATGTGTTTTCCTGTCTCAGAAAGCAAAATATGAGCAAAAGATTTCCTACCTTGAATTTTGCTCTTTCATGGTCCATCATCACCTCATGGCTCTGTACACCCAAGCAAGCAAGCAGTGTGTGATGCCGCAGAAGATCTGAAGAAACCTTCATTTTGCAAATAAGTGTTTGAGCCTAAATTACAAGATCCTCAGATTAATATTCTATTTTTTCTGAGCAACATCAAAAAATGACTCACATGACTCTTAGTGCTTCTTCACGATAAAAAAGAGAATGAAAAGGTGTATGTGTGTAGAAAAGGTATTCAAGGGGTCTCATAAAGATCCTTCTAATCAGGCTTTTGTTCAACCATCTTTTCCAGCTCACTAGTCCACTTCTACCCCTGGAATAGCGTTTTTCTCTCTTTATAAACTGCCTCTATTTCTATCCCACACAAAAAAGAGACAGCCCAGTTATTTTATTCTAAAGTGTCATGGATTACAGTAGTCTCTAGCCTTGTGCTCTATTTGTATCATGTAGCAGGATCTCAAATCCTTAGTGACTAACTATCCTTAATTGTGCATTAAGAAGTATCTTAACTTTCCAGGCTTGGTGGTGTAAGACTTTAATCCCAGTACTCGGGAGGCAGAGGAAGGCAGATCTCTGTGAGTGAGGCCAGCCTGGTCTACATAGTGAGTTCCATGACAGCCAGGGTTATGTAAAGAGACCCTGTCTCAAAAAAACAAAAAGAGAGAGGGGGAGGAAAAGAAAAGAGAAGAGAAATCTCTTAACTTGATAAAAAAAACCATTGCGATCATGAACAACAACCACTGTGGTTGCCTGCCCTGGGCCCACACAAGACAGACCCTGCACCAGCTGTTTATGGAAGGGGCAAAGGCTCACAGAGCAATACTCCTTATTGACAACTATTGCTTATTGATAGTTTCTGGAAGCAGGGAAATCTTGTATCCAGTTGTATACTCTCTTCTGATCTCACCACACACCAACAGATAACTCCGAACCAATGGTCACTTAGATAACCCTGGTTAAACTCAGTGAGTCTCAAAACAAAACAGACAGACATGAGTGAGGAAAGGGACTTTGTAGGGAAGAGGGAAGTTAGAGAGAAGCAGCAGGGAGATAGGAGGGAGAAGGTGGTAAGAGTGGTCAATCACCATTACATACACGGGGGAAATGGTCAAACACCAGATTCAATGACTAAGAAGTTATCTCTGAAAGAAAAAGAAATGTCTCAAGTTTTCATGGTGTCGTTTACAGGATGTGACCAATAGTAAAACAGAAACATGATACCATCGAGATTAGCATTTGAAATCTGTGCACTGGAGATATTGCTCAGTTAGGAGAACAGATGCCTAGCGTGTGGAAAAGGGGAGCAGAAGGAGCATGTGAGCCAACAAAAGGGAAGAGAGCTGAGAGATGCTGACTTCTAGACATGACATGCTCTTACCTGCACCAAACCTGAACAAGGCAAAACCATCAAAACTCCAGAATAGATCAACAAGGAGCCCCAGAGTCCCACTCATATTGGAAGAGCTATGGAATGCTAGAGCGTAGGTAAGGGGTCACTCTCTTTTGGAACATGGACACCAGTAGGTTGTTCATGCCCCAGTGGATGACTATACACCCACATGCATAGAACAGCATTAACTGGACTTTGGGGTGTTAATAAAAATTTCTTAAAAAGAAGATATGAAAACTTAATTCCATCGCTTAGGAAACAGAGGCAAGTGGATCTCTATTATTTTGAGGCCAACCTGGTCTGCAAAGTAAGTTCTAGCCTAGTAAGGGCCACATAATGAGATCCTGTCTAAAAAAATAATAAAAATAAAAAATAAATTTAAAAAAGGAAAGAAAGAAAAAAGGGAAGTTGGTGAGGAGATGGGACAGGAGCACTAGGAAGAGGGAGGTATTGGTAGAGGATCACGATCATTATTTATTACATGAATGTATTGAACTTTCAAAGAATAAAAAATCTTTTGACTTCACATGAGAAATGTAACAATCATCTTTTGGATGCCTTGCTCTCTTGGACTCTGCCACACAAAGCAAAATTAATAAGTCAACGGAACCTTCCTCACACAGCTTTCCCTAAATATATGGGCCTAGCTTCCTGGTGATTTAGCCACATTAGAAGATAATGGTACACACTGGGAAATAGCAACTCTTTATACTCAATGAAAGACTAGCAGATCCTGTTTAGGACCCATCACCACTGAAAACTATTGTCCATCCTTCAGACAGTAGTTCTGAGCACCAGGTGAGGTGCGTTTTTTTTACGGATTCTTAGCGTTTAGTCAATGACCAAAGCATCTGACCTTCCCAAGAGACAACAGGCTGGTGAGAATACCGATAGTACTATTTGAGGGCAGCAAACTGATAAAGAAAAAGAAATTATGACCATTGATAAGATAGTCCACATCTCCAGAGAGACCACACCTGGCAAGGCACCTAACCCGACACCAAACCCTTGAGGCAGATGCCGTAGTTGATGACGAAAGTCGGTCCCTGTCATCTTGGTTAATGATAAGGAACAGATGAGGGGTCCTATTGTGCAATTTCAGAATCTGTCCTGCTGTTTCCTGAGACATTCCTTTACCCGAGTTAACGATATCTATGCACTGCCCTGGTGGACACAGGCCCCGAGAAGCTACCCAAAACCAAGCTTCCTCTGTTTTGTTTCCCGCTGCATCCTGAGTTGCTAGAATGGAACAGAATAAATTTTCACCAAGCAATGCCTTCAATTAATCAGTAGTGATAGGAGTGAACTAAAATGTACTGCAGCCTTTGAGGTCTTTTGGGTGGTTTTAAAATATGTTGCTGTATTTCCATTTATTCACATTAACATGTGAAATGATTCATCAAAGGAACAAATATATTTTCATTTCATCTACAATAAAGAGTTTGAATGTAACAATGTGGAAAAACTCCCTGGCAGTGGCAGCAGTGGCACACACCTTTAATCCCAGCACTCAGGAGGCAGAGGCAGCTGGATCTCCATGAGTTCAAGTCCAGCCTGGCCTACAGAATGAGTTCCAGGACAGCTAGGGCTACACAGAGAAACCCCATCTTGAAAAACAAACAAACTAACAAACATACAAAAAGAACTTTCATGGGGAGCACATTTACAGTGAGTCAGCAGACAAAGCCAGGCAAGTCCCCTGAAAGCTCATAGTTCAGGTATCCTAGAGGCAACCCACCCCAGAAACAAGAAAAATCCTGCCTCATGGGAAGAAACAGAGCCCCAGAGCTGACCTCTGCACAGACACTAAGATCTGCACAAGTCCAACTCCCTCCCTTCCTCCCTCTCCCTCCTTCTATTGCTTTCTCTCCCTCCCTCTCCCTCCCTCTCTCTCTCTCTTTCTCTCTCTCAGACACACACAGAGAGAGACACACAAATGAACACATTTTAATTATAAGTAATAAGTAAATATCTAAAATGAAAATACCTGGATACATAAACATGTAGTAAATTCATGAACATACAGTAAAATAGTTTCAAAATAAACAGGTCTATGCCTTTGAAAGCTTATAACTTCTGAAAAGACAGATAATTTTTAACATTCCTTTTTTTTAAAAAAAAAAGAGAAGCAAGTAATATACTTTGAATATGAATGGTGGTTGTAAGGATTTCTGTTATTTTCTTTACTTTTGTATAATTTAAAGTTTTATGCTCAAAACCGAAAACTAATTTTAAGTTATGGTAATAGTATCTGGATGTGAACAAGCTCCTTGATTTCTACTGGAAACTAAAACTTCAGTTCAACCTAATTAGCAAACTAGTTTTCATTTATACTAAAATTTAATAATTTCAAATGTTATAGTATTCATGTTTATATGTGCTGAAATAAAATGAAACTGAAATGATAAAATTTTGCTATTTTACTGGTAGTACTGTAAGCATATATTAGGTTAGAATTTCTCATCTCTATTCTATGAGAAGCTAGTAGTAGCACACTTCTATCAATTTGTATAATATTTCTACATAGGCTCATACATACAAATACGTTTAAGGTTAACTTACATAAGGGTTTACCCATATCTCAGGGATTTTTTGTTTATGTTTAGATTTATTTATTTTATTTATGTGTCTGAGTGTTTGCATGGCATGTACATATATGGAGAGTGTGAATGTTGGTGCCATTGGAGGTCAGAAGAGCGTAGCAATCCAGAAACTGCAGTTATGAATGGTTGTGGGACACCATGTGGATACTGGGAAATAAACCCAGATCCTCTGCGAAGACAAGTGCACTGAGCTGCTGAGCCATCTCTCCAATCCCATACCTCTCACCCTTTGCACAATAAATGAACACTTTGACGACCATGATCCTCCTCACTAATGCTTTGCACATACTCAAATGATTTAGGTATCATGGGTTCTATTTTATTTACCAATCCAAGTACCTGTATGTTACATCTTATTTCTGTGACTTCTCCCAGGGAGTCTTTGCTATTCTAAAAATGCTTGTCTACCATGGCTGTAAGAATTCTATTATACAAGCAGAATGTAGCCAGAGTTCTTAAGTTGGCTTTTTAAAAATAGCTAACATGTTCAAGTGTCTGATATCAAATGCCAGGTGCACGTTTATAATTGTTACTACACATACATGTAAGGATTAAATGAGAACAGGAAACACGTAAACGTGTATCCTTGTGTGCTTCATTTGCAGTTTTCATTTCTATTTCCAGATCAATATCCTCCAAAGGAGAATTTTAAGGATTTTAAATAAGGGCCTAATAAGTTTCTTAATTTTTCACCACAAAATAGAGTAAATATATTCAAGGTGGAGGGCCAAACTAATTCGAAATGTTGAGGAAGGTTTCACAACATTCTCAGGGAGCTGAGTATGCAAATGTCTTCAGACTTTGATTGTGTATTTTTCTTCACTGAAGAAGATGATGGCTGAGCTGTAGAAATGGTGCTCTCGGTCGCTGTGACCAAAAGCCATGACTGAAGGCCAGCTGGTACTGTCTATGACTCCACACTAACTAAAGAGATTTTAAGCCCTAAAAGTGGAACAACCGTATTTTATGTGCTTTGGAAACTAAAATAACTTTTCTAAAGTGTAGCCATTGTTGTCAAGGCATTTTGAAATTAAAATGTCATGAAGACATACAAATACCATCTGTTGTGGTAAATAACCAAGACGCCAGTTCCCACAGGACAGATCCAACCAGACACCGCTGCTGGCTCAGTCCTGTCCTCCGTTATCTGAACCCAGCAACGAGTGTGGTGGCAATGTTAGCAACATTATCAAACATTATCAACATTATCATCAAAGAGGTATGCTAGGTAAAAAGAAAATAAATTACAAACAGACAAAAAGGGAAGATTAAAGCCACAAGAATCGAGGAGGTTTTATATATATATATAAACTACTACAGGCTATTTCAATTAAATGTTTTTTCAAAAAAAATTATAAAAGACCAAGGAAATCCTATGAACTGTCTATTTGCTAATGACTATGTGATTGTTGGTTTTTTTACATTTCAGATTTTATATTTAGATTCTCTTTTAACTTTTTTTTATTTAGCATTTTAAATTGTGGCAGTATTGATTCAGACATTAATAAAGCAATACATTCCTGAAATGGAATTTACTTCTGCTGTGTTTACCTGAGGAAATTATAGGGTCTCTCCATGTAGCCCTGGTTGTCCTGGAACTTGCTATGTAGACCAGACTGGCCTTGAACTCAGACACCTGCCTGCCTCTGCCCCTGCCCCCACCCTGGTCTCCACCCCCACCTCTGCCTCTGCCTCGACTGAGGGCTTGCACTGCTACACTTGGCCTGACAAAGGGAACTGATCAAGTGCAGACTACAGCTTATTTAAATGGCAGCTTGCAGTGGAAACCATTTGGGCCACCTGTTGCATCCTTTCAGCTCAAAGTAAATACCAGGGTTTCCTTCTTTCATGCAAAAAATGTCAGAAGGAAGCAGGGAAGGTGTAGAGTGTGACTCTCCAATGGTGCAAGAGTGATCCCTTGGCTTCAGGTTGATGGAGTTCCTAACCACGTAGAAAGATATCCTGTGGTTTTTCTCAGCCACCTTTTCTAAAGTCAATATACGTGTATGTTGGTATAAAAGATGACACAGAAACAGATGAGTACTTTTGTCTTGATGGTCAGTTGTCTTCTTTATTGTCTTGATAAAGATTCATCTTGAACCTCCATTTCTTGCTTATTGAAGACTCAGGACAACTACCATTAGGTTTTCTGACCAAAGTGTTCATTAGTTTTCTGACAAAAATTAAGAAGGGGAAAGTGTGAAAGTCAATGTTCAGACAATTGATATATTAAAAAAAAATATATGGATTCAATATGGCAGAAGGTGGGAGAAGGTTACCTCCTCTGCAAACGCAATATGCTCGCTTGGTGAGAGAGTTGTCTGTGTGGGCATGCCACAGTCAGCCTAATCTGAAAACCCAACCATTAAGTGCCAGATGAAGAGTCCAAAAATGCCAAGAAACATATCAAGAGGTAAAGAGATTCAATTTAGAAAGCTTCCATCTTGTGGCAGTTTTATGAAAAGGATTTACATAGAAATCAAGGGCTAATAATGAGAGCATACAAATTACTGTAGAAAATGATGATTAGTGGTAATAATTGTTCAAGAAAACACGTGTGTCACTTGCCTCTGAATGATAATTTAGTCCTAGTGACTAATGAATAATTCAAATTCACAACCTTAGGGCCAACCCTGTTGTCACTGTTTCCCAGGTCAGAATAAAGGGACCCCAGACTGGCCTGTCCTTACAAGCTATTTCTTCAGTGTCGTCCTGAGGCCTGAAACCAGTTTTCCTTCTCTTCCTTTTGCTGGCATTTCTTGGTAGCGCCTTGATTTCCAGCAACACAAGAAACTGCAGGAATGAGCAAACAAAAGGGGAGGGGGGCCAAGACAAGGAGAAAGGGATGTGAAAGAGGTAAGAGAAGAGAGGCCAACGTATGAGAACGTGGCCCCTCTCCAAATGCTAAATGTCATCAAGAAACTCAGTTTTAGAGGTGACTATGGAGTCTCACTGAAAATCCTAAAAATAACTAAAAGGAAATCCTTTTAGTTGCTCAACCTTAAGTTCTCCAAGTTTATGAAATACATGAACAACGTAAGCAGTAACTAGACAATGTGATCAAAGAAACATTGACTTCAGAAATAATAATTATTTTTTTAGTTTAAATTCCATGTGTATGTGTTTGCCTGAGTGTGTGTATGTGCGTGCAGCACACGTGTGCAGGACCTTACAGAGGTCAGAAGAGGTCAGATTTGCTGAACTGGAGTTACAGATGGTTGTGAACTGCCATGCTGGGTACTGAAACCAGGTCCTCTGCAAGAGCGTGAAATGCTCTTCACCACTGAGCCATCTCTCTGGCCAACTTCAAAAATAATCCTATCTTCTCCATTTGGCTTGGCAATATTATAGAAAACCTTTCCTTTGCTTGGCAATTTGACAAATTTCTCTAGGAAGCAGACAAAATAAATCTTTTATTCCTTAGTATGACACTATGTACAATAAACACCAGATACTGAGGGTCTAAGGCAGGGTTTTTTGCATGTGAAGCATGTACTTTACCACTGAGCCATATTCTCCATCAGGTCATATATTTTTCTTCCTATTACTGAAGAATCAAGAAAACCCAGACACGAAGAAGCTTAGGAAATGGGAAGACAGCTAAAAGAAACAGAGAAAGGGCTAAATGCACTACAGTTCATTTTCCCTAGATGCAGAAGTTTTTTTAATTATTCTTTGAAAATCTCATACATCTACAATTTATCTTGATCATATCCACCCCTCCCTCTCTCCCTCCCTCCAACTCCAGCCCAAAGCCCTCCCTCTACATCTGAACACATCTCCCTCCGAGCTTCCTGCCCTCTTTTTTTTTAATAACCCACTGAGTTCACGTAGTGCTGCCTGTATGCACATGGATGATGGACTGGGGCATGGACAATTACCAGTCGTGTCCCCTACACCCCCCAAAAAGACAAGCGACTCCCTGGCAGCCAATGCTGATGCTCTTCAGCTAGTTGTGGGGCCTCAGGAGCCACTCCCGCCATGCTGTGATTTTTAACTCTCTTGATCTTGCCAGGGCCTTGAGCAGGTAACCAGGGCTGATGGCTGATGTGATTTCATGTGTGCAACAGGCACGTCCTGTCCACAAGACAGCATTGCTCAGCACCCTTCCCCCCTCAGCTCTTACATTACTCCTTTTCCTCCTGCCACTATGTCCTCCGAGCCTTGGGAGGTGGGGTTGATACAGATGTCCCATGTAGGGCAGAGCTCACGGTTGCTTATCGTCAGCAATTTGAACAGTCTCTCCATTAATCTCTGCCCGCACAAAGAGAAGTTTCTCAGACTACTATTGAAAGCAGCACAAGTCTATAGATACACATGCCACCTGTTCTCTTTCCATACCAGCCCTAGCTTCAGAACTTCGGTGTGTTTAATCTGGAGTGTGGTAGCCAGGAAACTAGAAAGAGACCATTGCAGGGATGCGCTAAGGAGAAGGGATAACAAGAACATAGGGAAAAATGGAAAGGGAGAATAAAGGGGCAGAAAAGTTCAACTAGATAATGGAGTGGTAGGGATGGGTAGGAAATAGTTAACCAAAATGAAGTGCGTGTGAAGAAGCTGCATGTGAACCTATGATCTTGTGATCTGAGTAAAAAAAATGACAGAAGAGGAGACAGTAGAATGCATGTGATGTGAAAGGAAGGGTGGGGATGCCAGGGACTAAAGGTTTAAGCAGAGATGGGATTAGTGGGATGTGGGAAAAGGAGAGGTAGGGATTTGTGAGCCATAACTAAAGGTGTACGGAGAAGCCCTTTGAAAGCCCACTAATATATGAGCTAATTTTGCTTTTATTCTTAAGAGTCTGACCACCCTTTATTGTTTGTTTGTTTTTTGGTCTCCCTAGTTAACCCTGGCTGTCCTGGAACTCACTCTGTAGACCAGGCTGGTCTCAGACTGGTAGATCCATCTGCCTCTGCCTCCCCAGTGCTGAGATTATGAACCATAACGCCCAGCTTCAGTTTGACCGTCTTAAATAGTCTCTCTGCTGTATTTTCACATAGAAATAGATGTTTCTGCACGACAGTAGAATATGAGAGAGCAAGACAACGGTATGTTCCTGTTTAAAATGACACCTTCTTGGTGTGTGATTTGTGATTGTGTGACGTTGTTGGTTGTGTCGTGTGATTTGTGATTGTGTGACGTTGTTGGTTGTGTCGCATTAGATTGTGCTTTGCTTGGATTAAAAGTGGCGGCAAGAGGGGCTGGAAAGACGCCTCAGCAGAAAATGCTGGCTGTTCTTCCAAAGGGCCCGGGTTCAATTCCCTGTACACATACACACACACACACACACACACACACACACACACACACACACACACACACACGGTGGCTCACAACTGTCTATAATTCCAGTTCCAGGTGATCTGACTCCTCTTTCTGGCCTTAGCAGCCACCAGGCACGGATTAATGCACACACAAATGTACAGGCAAAACACCCACACACAGAAAAAAAAGGTTTTTTTAAGTTTAAGTGATTGCTGAAAGATGGCTCAGTGAGTAAATTGCTTTCTGTACAAGATAAGGGCCTGAACTCAGATCCCCAAGCACCCACATCAATGCCTGGTAGCAATTCAGCATGCCATTGGCTCTTTTTTTATATATATATTTTATTTTATTTTTATGTGCATTTGTGTTTTTGCCACAGCTGTCAGGGTCCCCTGAAACTGGAGTTACAAACAGGTGTGAGCTGCCATGTGGTTGCTGGGAATTGAACTCTGGTCCTCTGGAAGAAGAGTCAGCTCTCTTAACCCTGAGCTATCTCTCCAGCCTGCCATTGGCTCTTATGGCAATATCAGCTCTTACAGTGTGGAGACAGGCAAATCCCAAAGGCTTAATGGCCAGCCAGCCAGTTACTGAATAAGTGAGCTCCACGTTCAGAGATAGATCTTCTCTTCAAAAATAATGTGGAGGGAGATAGATGAAGACACCCAAGTCACCTTCTGGGCTCCATAGATCCATGTGCACCTCAAGAGCTCCTGCACACACACACACACACACACACACACACACACACACACACACACACACGATTGCCATGATAAACACATCATAGTGGTGTCTTTAGAATGCTGATTTTGAATATAATGCTATCATCTACTTTAACTTGATAATAACTTAATAGTAAATCTACTGTTACTATAAAAGAAGATCTTAAAAACAAAAAACATAGTTTTCAAGGAAGACCTTCATTGCAGTGGTACACATTGCTCTGAATGTTTGACAGCCAGGGAAGTGATGTTCAAATTGACATACTGTTCTCAACTGAAAACATCTCTTGCTGGGTGGTGGTGGCACACACCTTTAATCTCAGCACTTGAGAAGCATAAGCAGGTGGATCTCTGTGAGTTCAAGGCCAGCCTGTCCTACCAATGAGTTCCAGGACAGACAGGGATACACAGAGAAACCTGTTGGGAGCATAACATGAAGATCCTTGTGCCCACAGATCTCCAGAGAAACCAGGAATGTTAGGCATACAGGATTGTCTTTCCAATTGAAAAGATGAAAAACCTGTTCTTCCATCCAGAAAGCTGAGACTTGGAAATGATTGACTGCCAGGCCATATCAAGCTCTTGCTATCAAAATGGAGTTGATTAACAATCCAACTGGCCCTGATAGCCAGAGGCTCCCCCAAGCTCCCACAACCAGGACCATAGGTGGCTAACAGCCTAAATGATCTTTATGCTACCTATATGACTGAGACCTCTAGAACTCATCTTCTTGGAAGAAATGGCATGTACCCTGAGTTGAGTTTCAATGTAACTATGCTTCCTTGTGCAATGGGATTGTATTACACCAGAAAACTTATTTCCAAACTATCCTGGACTTAAATACACTGGGAATAAACTGCCTGCTATTAGACTCTCCAAAGTCTGAGCCAGGTTGACAAAGTCAATCTACACTGGGTTTTCATTTTTTAATCTCCTTGTAGGGTTCACTTCCCTGTATGACACCTGCAGGGGCCCCCTCAACCACCCTGTCTTGAAAAGAAAGAGAAAAAATAAAAGGAAATCTCTCTTGTAGTTTTGGTTTGTTTTTCAAAATACAATTGTGTGAAAATAAATAGACAAATAAAGTTCATTTTCCCATGATTCCCTAATAGGTAGATCATAAGGACAAAATGAATGAGAAGAAGAAAAGGGGGCAAGAGGAAGCAGGAGCCCAGGAGCCCAAGTAGAGACAGACGGGTTTCTGTGAGTTTGAGGCCAGCCTGGTCTACAGAGCGAGATCCAAGACAGCCAGAGCTGTTACACACAGAGAAACTCTGTCTTGAAAAAACCAAAAAAAGAAAAGAAAAGAAAAAAGAAGTATGAGAAAGAAAAAAATAGAAAGGCATGGAGAAAGAATCCAAATATATTGTTGGAAATGACTTTATTCAAATTAAGTACATAGTCGTCCAGATGAATACTTTGCATATTTCAACACATTTACTTAAATTTTAAATTTTACTTTATTATCATGTCATGATGTATAACTAGAGAGTGGATTTTTCTTTTTAATGTTACCTCTTTTGTCTTAAATTTAAAAATCTCAATATAAAAACTAACCAGATTCATTTTCAAAATGAAATCTTACTAAACTGTTTTTTTTTTTTTTAAGACTCGTCTCACTCTTAGCCCAGGCTGGCTTAGAACTTGTCCATTCAGCCCAGGCTGTCCCTTGACTTCGGCCTGTTCTACTGTGTTTGCTTCTGCAGCCTCCTGACTCAGGGTTATGAGCATACACCACCACACCCCGCTGCTGCTGCTGCTCCTTCTTTTCCTCCTCCTCCTCCTCCTCCCCATTTTCCTCCTCTTCCTCCTCCTCCTCCTTTTCCTCCTCCTCCTTCTCCTTTTCCTCCTCCTCTTCCTCCTTCTCTTTCCTCCTCCTCCT